GCATGCCTGTGTTAGGTTTACAGTAAAGAATGCCTACTTTTTATTAACTGTCCTTTCAGATATATTAGTGACTGTCACACCTGAATTATAACAAAGAAGCACTAGAGAAAGTCAATGTGGGCGGTAAAATTCTTTGAAGAATAACTAGTTATAATTGGGGAGTCTGAACACATTTCAGAGTTGTACATTTAATATGCAGTATGGTTAATTGCACTGTAATTACAGTATTTTAAAATGCCACGCTAAGTGTTTAATCCTTTTCAGGTTTGCCTTCCAATCAGTGGTCTGCCTTCATTTTCCAGATTGATGAAGTCCGCCTCAGACAAGGGGTTAGGTAACAAGATTGTGCTGATGTGTCTAATCAACTGGGAAAGTTGTAAAATGAATCTTTTCTATCTGGAATTTATATTTAATCATAGCTATGTTCTCTTTATGAATGAGTGTTGATTAGTTAGTTGTCAGAACATGAAAACAATAAGAGCTTTTATTTACCCAGATAAGTTATGCTCGAGTCATTATTTGGGTCTGATTGAGTTGATGGGGATATTTACATTACCTCAGCACATTGATTCACTTAATCTTATTCATAATGTTAATTATATACTCCAAGAGTTGCTATCACACACTTATTTATGGTGTTCACTATTAGGGTTTGTTTATACATGGGTGATGGTATGGTTCCTCTTTCTTTCACTGGACTATGCCCCTTTTATAGTTGCAAAAGGCATCTCCACTCATAGAAACCTGATCTTCAGGAGTTTACTCACACTTACTTGATGACATCTAATTCAAAGATGGCAACTCAGTTTGGTATTAGAGTATTGGTTAAGACTACCCCATTAAGCTATTTAGTTTTTTTTTCTTATGTATTTGCATATGTTTTTTCATTGTCTGGAGTTTTCTTTCTCTGCATATCCTCTGAAAACTACTAATTCATTCTTCAAGACCTGGCTTGAAATTCCATTTTAAAAGCATATTCTAATTCTACCAAAGAGAGTTAATTGTTGCCGCCTTTATCTCACTACTGTATCTGAACAGTAATAGCATTGTAGCCCTATCATACTGTATTGTAATTACCTTTTGATATATTTGCTTTCATTAATTAGTTTGTTTGAGAGTGAGGGCTATATCCTATTCATCTCTCTTATCACCCAAGTCTAATTGTGCCTGGTGCATGGTAGGTGCTTAATAAATTCTCAGTGTTGATGTTGATTATTCTTTTTTTTTAACATATATAAATAGTTTTTTTAGAACAGTTCTAGGTTCACAGCAAAATTGAGAGGACAGGACAGAAGTTTCCCATATACCCTCTGCCCCCATGTATGTATGACCTCCCCTGATATCAACATCTCTCACCAAAGTGGTATATTTATTACAATTGATCAGTGTACACTGACATCGTAATCATGCAAAATCCATAGTTTACATATGATTCACTCTTGGTGTTGTAGATTATACGTGTTTGGACAAATGTATAATCACATGTATCTACCATTATAGTATCATACAGTATCATTCACTGCTCTAGCTTTTTAAAATTGAGATATAATTCATACACACACACTTTTTTTTGTAAAATCTTTTTTCCCCTGTGTGTTTCAGTTTGGATTGTTTCAGTTTGCTGTGCTTCAAGATCACTGATCTTTTCTTCTACATTGTCTAATTTGCCGTACATCCTATCTGGGGTGTGTGGGGCTTTTTAATTTTTTTCATTTCTGATATTGTATTATCTCTTATAGTCCCCCTGGAGTATTTTTTTATAACTCCTGTTTCTCTCCTCATCTTGTTTGTTTCCTTTTATCCCTTTTATATATATCTTTGATCATATTTATAAGCCTTATAATATTGCTGATAAAGTCCTAGTGTATTAATCTCATCATCATCTGTCATTTGTTTTTATCGACTGATTTTTCTCCTCAATATGAGTCATATTTTTCTGCATCTTTGCTTACTGTAATTTTTGAATGCTGGATATTGTGAATTTTACATTGTCAAATATTGAATTGTGTTGTAATCGTTTAATGATTACAACATTAAATAATAAGAAATCTGCCATCACTTTTATTGTTGTTCTCTTGTATGTAATGTAGATTTTTCTTTGGCTGCTTTTAAGACCTGAATGTTTTTAGTTTTTAACCGTTTGACTCTGATGCCTAGGCATGGTCCTTGTATTCCTGCTGCATTATTTATAAAGAGACAAATATTAGTAACAACTCAAATATTTAAGAATTTGAGAATAGCGAATTATTCATCAATATAATGGAATGCCATTGATTAAATATGTAGATTATGTTGGTACAAGATAAAGTGTGTATAATGTTTAGTAAAAGAAACAAACTATTAACTATACAAAGATTTGAAAAATGAAAAATATTTGTATTAGAAACATACATTTAAGAGTTATGTAAATAGTGTATTAAAGAAAAAGTTTTCTTCCCCTGAAAATCTGTTTTTCAAAACAGCTTTATTGAGATAGAATTAACATATCATAAAGTTCTCCCATGCAGATGTAAAGTACAGCATAGGGAATATAGTCAATGGTATTGTAATGGCTATGTACGGTGTCAGAGGGGTAGTAGACTTGGGATTATCACTTTGTGAGGTGGGTAAATGTCTAATCAATGTTTTGTACACCTAAAACTAATAAAAAAAAATTCTCCTATGCAAAGTGTACACCTAAACTGTACAATTCTATGGTTCTGAATATATTCACAGTTGTGCAACCATCACCACAATCAATTTTAGAAAAATTTTATCACTCCAACAAGAAATGCCACACCTATTAGCAGCCACTTCCCATTTTCCCCAATGCCCTCAGTCCTAGACAATCAATTAACTTTCTCTGTGGATTTGCCTATTCTGGGAATACTATATAAATGGAATCATACAATATCTAGTGTTTTCTGTCTGGCTTTCTTCACTTAGCATAATGTTTTCAAAGTTCATTTATGTTGTAGCATGTATCAACACTTTATTTCTTTTAATTGTTAAATAATATTCCAAGATTATCACTTTTATACATAATTAACATTATAATAAGTAGGTCTGTATGTAATGCCTTTTAGGATAGTTCCATAATATGGAATGAATATTGGGATCAAAGGAAATGAACCTTTTTCCTATTGTATTTTGATCTTATTTGTCTATATACTTCAAAAGATTATATAAATAATGTGGTTTTACTTTAATTTCTGGAAAATACAAACAAACATGAAAGAGAACATCCTTTTGATCACTGCTCTTTTCCACTCCACTCCCTGCTTGGGCCTGTTCATCTCCTTTTTACCCCTGGAGGCAGCCATTATCCTGAGTTTGGTATATATATTTCCAATTCATATTTAAAGTCTCTCCTTCCCCTCTCTCTGTCTATATATGTATAGGTATAAATACATACATTTTTAATGTTTTTTAATTACATGTTATATGGAAGTTTATAAGTCCAGTGTGATGCCTGCAATATAAATCCCTATGTGCATTATTAAACAGAACAAAAACTAATTATATCACTACTATCCTTTCCATCAATATTCATATCATATAAATAAACCATAGTGTAATGGGAGATCTGAATCCCAATAATTGACTCTAATAGCCATCCTAATAATTCATTCCATGCCTTCAAGATAATACCATATTATATTTCAGGAGGCTATTTTAATTTCAAGGAAGGTAAACAGGATTAATTTCAAGGGGCTTCAGATTCAATGTGGGACTGAAGCACTCAGTTTGATTGTAGACTTGATAATTAATTAACTTATTCTTAAACTCCAAAATGCTGCCTAATTACTGTATAATTGAAGTAGACAATTAAATCAGTCATTTAAAAAATAGAATTTGGTGAAGTAACCCAAATATCTAACAGGTACGCTGCTGATACTCGGTTGAGTCTGAGAAAATATTTCTGGTTATTTAGATTTGGAGGAGGCCTCGAGGCTGCCTGATCAGGTTTAACAGGTTTCCTGGTTGCCGGCAAAACCGACATGGCCGTGATTCGTTACCCAATCGCATGATTCCTTTTCTGGAAATTGTTTCTTTATACAAGATACCTAGTGGCAGCACATATCCTTCATAATTTCAGGTAGTTGAATCTGAATTGTTGTATGTTTCCTGGGCCTTCTTTAAACTCTGAGGATTAAAAATGCAATCTCATGGCAGAGGCCATTTGGTCACAGCCTGGGAATCTTCCTGGCAGCTGATCTGCAACTGTCTTAAAACTGTCCTATGAAAAACTAGGGAAATAATTGAATAAACAAATTATTTTTAAAATTTCAACATTTTAATCCACTCTATTTAAAAATACTATTGCTGCACTTTTTGATCATTCTACCACCGAATCACCTATGCTAACCTATTACATCACCTTTTGTAGGAGAAAGCAATGACATCATTTTTTTCAAGTTTGTTGTTAGAATTTCGTAGGAGTATCAGACAGATACCAGTTACAGCATTTACGTATATTTCAGCCCCCCCGCATCTATCATGGAGAGACCCACTCATGATATTTGCATAAAATAGCCAGTGAGGAATGAACAGAGACACTGTGCTGGCATAGTACCCACACGGAGAGTTTTGAGGTTGAGAAAAATCAAGGTGTTCTGTAAGTCTAAATTAATTTGGATTTATTTTGGATGCTTAATGATCAGTGTAAAAGAACTGTGCCTATTTTAGCTTATAATTAGCATCTACAACCCTTTTCCCACAGACTGGTAACCTTAAGAAAAAAAAAAAGGATGAAAAGAAAAGAACACCTATTGTATGTCAAATTCTGGATTTGATGCTTTATATCTTCCTCTCCCTGTTTAATCCTTACAACTCTTCCTGAAGAGTAGGTGTTAGTTTTATTCCCATTCTATGAAGTTCAAAGGGGTCAGGAGACTTGACCAAAGACTAACCAGCAATTGGGGGGTGGTGGTGGTGGGGCAGAACCATTTTGAAATCTGGCAGGCCTGCTGCCCCTCTTCTGGTCAGGGTGTAACCCAGAGATGGGCTCAAACAGTGCAGAGGGCAGTATAGTGGGGTGCTGCTGGGCTTCACTCTGCCAGGCTCTGCTACCAGGCAGCTGTGTGACCTTGGACATTTGGACTGCCATGGCAGCCTCCCTAAAGAGAAGGTCCTTCCAACCACGAACCAGATGATCCGCGAGGACCTGCGACCCACGTGCTGCAGGGCCCACGTTCTCACAGCCTCTCCACCCGAGTGAGCTGGAGCAAGTCGGCCCTGGCCCTGGGAACTGTTAACTGCCACGCCCTCTTCCACTCAATACGTGTTAACTTACCCCGCCGGCCTGGTTTAGTCTGTTTGCTTTTCGAGGTGCAAAGCGTACACACTGAGCCTGCCCCTGCGGCTCCTAGGTTTCCCCACACCGCCCCGCAAGCCCTTGTGTGAGAATTGGGGAAGGAGCCTGAGGGTTTATTGCCCATTACCTCCCGCTGTGCGTCCCCGGCTCCCTGGGACCGGCCCTCGGGCAGCGTTCAAAGTGGGTTTCCCGCAGACACTGCAGATCCAAGGCCGGTTTTTTCCCTGCATACGCGTTTTGGTGTCTTGAGTGTGGGTGGAGACGCAGAACAGGGGCGCTGGAGCGAGCCCGGGTGAACACGCGCAGGCCCGCAGGGCCCCCTCGCCCTCCCGCCCGCGCAACCTGCCGTGCGGGCCTCGGCGAAGGAAGCCGGGCTGCAGCGGCCGCCGCGGGCTAGGGCGAGGGCTGCGGCCCCCGGGTCGTCGCCCCCGCCTCCTGCCCGCGGGCTGCCGGCGCGTCCCCGCCCTCCCCCAGGCCCCGCCGCCCGCCTGCAGGTGAGGCCGCCCGGGCCGCCGAGGAGGTGCGTGGGGATGAGCTCACTCGCCCGCTCCGCGCCTGCAGGAGGAGGAGCGGGAGCAAATCCAACTTCCGGGTAGTGGAGCCGCACGCCGCCGGCGTCTTGCCTTTTCTTCCCCCTCCCCCTGTCGTATCCCTTCCCGCTCCCCTCCTCTCCTTTTCTTCCGGACCCAACCTGCCAACATGAACAGCTCGGACGAGGAGAAGCAGTTGCAGCTCATCACCAGTCTGAAGGAGCAAGGTAGGCGGGCGCGCGGCCGCCAGGTGCGGGCAGCCGCGGCCCGCGAGCGGGGTCTGGGGCTTGCGGCAGCGGGGCGGAAGGTGTAGCGGCCTCCGTGGTCACCGCGGTAGCTCCGTTCCCCTTGGAGAAGCATTCTTCGCGCCCTGCGCGCTTTGGAGAGCCCGGGGCGGAGGGTGCCAGGGAGTGTCAGGCCCCACACTGCGGGAAGCGCTGCCGCTGGTGGCTTTCGCTGGCGATCCGGGGTTAGGGGAAGGGGCGAGCATGCCGCGCGTACTTGGTCCCACGGTACCACCTTTCAGGCGGGAGAAGCGGGTGGGGCTGGATATCTTGGGAGGGGTCGATGTGGGCTGCTCAGCTGGCCCCGCTCCCTAGCCTGGGCCCCACCCTTGCACAGAGGCGCTGGGAGGCCTGCAGCGCTGCGCTACTACAGCCTTTCCAGCTTTTCCTCTGGTTTGCTCTAGTTCCCATTTCTTGACCCAGCTGGGATTTTTTCAGGCTCTGATGTGTTTTATCACTTCCCATTTTTTAGTAATTTATTAGTCAGCGACTCAGCCCCCTGCCTGTGTCAGGCTTCCTGAATTAAAACCTGGCTCTGCACCGCTGGAAGGCCATGCCATGCACATGCATGTCAGCACTGCCTGATAACTGGAGACGATCCCTCAATAAAGAATGGGCTTAATCATTTTCATCGCCACCACTCTTCTGAACAAAGCCCAGTTAGTATGAACCTGACACTTTTAAAATTTAAAGTGATTATTACCCTGCCCAAAGGTGGCCTGAGAATAGGGGTCAGGAAAGAGGAACCATACAAATTTAGGAAGTAAAAACGTGTAGGAACATGTGCTTTGCGGACTAACTTGGTGACATGGCCACTATGTGGAAGGGCCACAGAGGGCCGCTTCTCTGTGGCTAATCTTGGTTTAGTCACAGCTCTTTCACTTCTCTTGGCTCAACTCCCCAACTCTGTGAGCTTGGAAGAGTCTCATCTCTTTCAAGGGTCTCGTGACTCATCAGGGCTTACCTGACTAAAGGCAAGGGCTAAACCGGATGATTGCATGAAGTCCTGTCCAGCATGAGGACCTGTTGCTCTTTCAAACCACGAGCTTACCATTAGGAAGCGTATGTTGATCCTTCCGGAGCACACACCCCTGGAAACAAAGCTCTGTTTACTGTGTGGGCTTGTTGACTGTTGACTGTGAAACCTTGGAAATTATTTAACCTCACCAAAGCGGTCAGAACACATACCTGTGTGGTAGCTAGCATCTAGAAAGTGTTGGATAAATGTTAATGGATTTTGCCTTCCCAGCACCATTGTAGATTAGCCCAAAGTCATAAAGTCATAGGCATCATTGAATCTAGTGGGTGGGCAAAGTGCCTTTATCTGGGATTTCTCAAGTGTTTTAGGGAGGGGCTGGATTCTATTATTAGTATTTTTAAAATTTCAAATAAAATCCCCTAAGTAGCATAAAGAATTTTTTAAATGGAAGTATAGGTGATGAAATACTATATCAGTTTCAGATGTACCACATAGTGATTCGACATTTATAATACTTTAGGATGTGATCACCACGATAAGTCTAGTACCCATCTGTCACTGTACAAAGTTATTATGATATTATTGACTATATTCCCTGTGTTGTACATTACATCCCTATGATTTATTTATTTTAGAACTGGAAGTTAGTACCTCTTATTCACCTTTTCTACCCTTCCCTAAAGACTCCTAATTCATGTTCCAGACTGTGGGAGATTTCATTATTGGTAATATCTGCTAGTGGATACCAGATCTTTTGATGGATGGTCTGTTTTCAAAGAGTGATAAAATAAAAAGTTCCACTTCTTTTCATTCCATATATAATTTCAAGTTTCTTAATTTTTGCCAATCTGATGAACAAAAATGGCAGCTTTAAAAAATTTGTCTTACCTGATTATTAGTGAGGTTTGAAATTTTTTTATATGTTTATTGTCCGTTGAGGTTTCATCGTTTCGTTCCATCCTTGGTGAGTTTTTAAGTCTGGAATTTGAACCCATTCCCCAGGGGGGCGTTCAGAAAGAAGGTTCCTCTGTGCTGTAAGTGGCAGAGCTGACAGCAGCCTTCCCTAATGTGCAACCGTCAGTGGTATGGGGAATAAGGTTGCTTTTGACAAAAGTTGTGAAGTGTAATGACGGAGCCTGTCATAATATGAACAATCTCTAATTTATACTTACCATTCCCTGAGCTCTATGTCTTATAAATCACACCCACTTCTGAATTACTTCAAAACATTGTATGTTCCCTTCTAGTGAATGGTATAATTAGCTATATTATGTCTTTCTAGAAAGTTATATTATGTCCCTTTAAAAAAAAATTAGCCAGTGTGCGATTGCTTATGTTCAAGCAGATGTTGAGGTAATGAGGTAATTCTCCTTTTGTCTTTTTGGGGGCTTTATTTTATTGGACTGATTGACATCTTTAATGCACTGAGAAATGGCAACTTGGGATACTATTTCCAGTGCATATTCCCCAGCTATTAAAGTGGACATTTCCCTTACAAAATATCATACAATTTGCTCCCCCCTCCAGAATTCGGTTGGGAAATGATAGCTTAGCATTTGTTTAAGGTACATGATTTTCTTCATAATGTATTAAACCCACATGCATTGAATATTCATAGCCAGGCACTGTGCTAGGCATCAGAGATATAGGGATGAATAAAACCTTGTCCCCGCTGGTGAGAAGTTCCTAGTCTAGAGATGGTGGTAGGCATGTAAATTCCAGGGAGAGTGTCTAATTGGCCTAGTTTAGGTCATGTGTTTAAATCCTTTGGCTGGGGAAGGTCAGGGCACCTTGATTGGCAGTCCCCACAAAGACCAGTGGATTGGAGTCGTTGTCCAAAAAAGAATGGTGTGCCATAACCAGAATGGGGGATGCGGGCTGGGCAGACACAAGCAGTGGCTGTCCACTAAACTGGTCAGCATAGTAAAGTGTCATTTGGAACTTGTAGAGGAAATTTTGAAGACAGTGATTGCCACTTAACCAGAAGGATGTTTTAACACAAGACCAAAACAACAACAACCAACAAACCAAAAGTTACGGGCTGTTCTTGAGCTAATGCTGTTTAACATGGATTTCCTATGGAAAGATAATTAATTGGTTTTAAAGCAAGGTAACCGCCTTTCTTGTTTTGTTTTTTTCTAAAAGATTTTATTGGGAAATGGGGGTAGGGGAACAGTGTTGGGGAATTGGGGAATGGGAACAGCTAAGTTGTTGTCCTTCAGTCTTAGTTGTGGAGGGCGCAGCTAGCTCAGCTTCAAGTCCAGTCGCCACCCGGCCGCCTGTCGGCAGCTCAGGGCAGCTCAGCTCAAGGTGTCGTGTTCAATCTTAGTTGCGGGTCCCATGCGGGAGTTGAATTGACAACCTTGTTGTTAAGAGCACGTGCTCTCACTAGCTGAGCCATCCTGCCACCTGTTTGCAGCTCAGTGGCAGCTCAGCTCAGGTGCAGCTCACTGGCCCATGTGGGAATTGAACCAGCGACCCTGTTGCTCAGAGCTCAGGCTCTTAACCAACTGAGCCACTCGGCTGGCCCCTCCTTTCTTCTTTAGAGTTACTATCATTTTCCCCAAGATTAATGAGATAGTGCTTCAGATTCAGATGGCAGTTTAGTTAAGCTGTTGCCTACCACGATGACCATGTGGGTCTGGAAAAGCCGAAGCATTGTCGGTCTTGGATCCATGCAAAGTCAGTCAGCAGGCTTTTTCTGTAAGTGGCCAGAAAAGTATTTTAGGCTTTGTGGGTCATATGGTTTTTGCTGTAAACCAGCGTATTTATTAAAAATGCTACTTCCTCCTAAAGTTGGTGAGCCACTGCTGAAGGGACACCAATGAGCAAAACCCTCTATGAGGTGGATACTCAGTATGTGCTGAGGAACTACGTCTTCTAGTCAGAATTTCACTGTTCACTTAACACTTCCATTACGTAGATAAAAAAATAAACATGCTTAGAGGGGGAAAAATCATATAAAATGAAAAGTATAGTACCTGCTCCCTCTACCTCATTGTTTCTCAATCTTTATTTCACTATACTTTCCTAAGGAGCCTTTATACATTTCCCCCACTAATCCCTCACCATCCCCGTGAAATATTAATGCCACAGATACACTGTACACCTTGTTGTGTAGTGTGATCCTTTGCGGGGGGTGGGGGGTGGGCTGCAAGCCATTGTAAAATCTAAGATTATTTTCCTCTTTGAGGGCGCTATCACCCCATTGATGATACATGATGCTCTAACCCCATTTTCATTCCTCAAAGTTATCTACTGTTAACCTTTTATTGTATTTCCTCCCAGAAGTTTTGTGTTCCTTGCACGTATTATTTATCACTTAATGTGCATTATAGAATTCATATCAGTACATACAGAGTTAAATCTTTAAAAATTGAGTGGATAGTCTTCCGCTGTACGGCTCTCCCACTGTGTACGTAGTTAACATCCTCTTGATGGACACTTCTGTGTTTCTGGGGTTATTTTTTTTAATTTTCATTTTTGCTGTTAAAATAATGCTTCCAGCAATAGATAAGAGTCAGAAACATCAGCATGAACTCACGTTTAGCTTAATATAGCTATAGATGGCTACACCTAGACATATTTATAGATATGTGTCTGTACATTGGGTTAGTACACACATGGTCAGCTGAGAGCCCAGATGTACCATAGCAGTGAGCGCATCTAGCTCCAGATCGTGGCTTCTCTTTAATACCCTTCTCCTCTAAAAGGAACTAGACTTCTGGGAGAAATGACTGATTCTAGGCCTGGGGTGACTGGGGCAGGAAGTATACAGGATGAACCTGGATCATCTCGTACAAGAAATTAAGGAAGTGCTCAAACAAACAAGCCCACAATGATGGGGATATGTCAGAGAGATACAGGAACCAACTGAAAGCACTTCCAGTGGGCAAAGGTGGAACCATTTGAACAACAAACTCTTGAATTGTAACCCGAAGTATAAAATAAATATTCATGAGTCCAAACTGGTATAAATAAATGACTGAATAAATAAACAGGGAGAAGAGACAAATCTTCCATGCCAACAATTGCAAATAATTTATGTAGATACGCCCATACGTAGCTGTCAAAGAGGTGGAGCATAGCACCCTATTCCTTCAGTGTGGGCTGTACGTAGTGACTTCTTTCTGTAGAGGACAGTATGGAAATGGGGGGAAAGAGTAACTTTACCGTGGAGAAACCTGACAGCTATTACCTCAGCTAGGTGATCAAGGTCAACTTCAATAGTGAGTTAAGTCATGTTCATATATAGATATATAGTATGTACCTTTGGTAAGAGGCGATAAAAATGGCACTTTGCCTCTGCATCTTCCCCTAAAAACCCACAGCCCCAGTCTAATCATGAGAACATCAGACAAATCTCAATTGAGGGATAGTCTACAAAAAATGACCAGCCTTCCTCAAAACTGTCAAGGTCATCAAAAACAAGGAAAGTCTGAGAAACTGTCACAGCCAAGAGGTGTCTAAGGAGACATAACAACTGAATGTAATGTGGTATCTGGGTAGGATTCTGGAACAAAAATAGAACATTAAGTAAAAACTAAGGAAATATCAATAACATATGGATTTTCATTCATATTAATGTGTCAGAATTGATTAATTAATTGTAATAAATGTACCATACGAATGAAGGATGTTGATAATAGGAGAAACTGGGTGAAGGGTATCTGGGAACTC